GAGGGGTGCAACGGAATTGTATCTTCTGGATGCTCATCCTACGGAAATGCAAATAGTTGCATGCTTAATTATGCGTTTGCCTAATTTGCTTATGTCAGCAATATGCAAATTAGGTCAAGGCATTAATTAAGCATGCGAAAGGCTGATTTTTTAGGAAAAAATGAATAGTGTTAATAGTACGAGTGATGTTTGGAAATTTTCCTATCACGTTCATGCAACTTACTACCGTCTTCTTTTAACAACTTATTGGTATTTAAAGAAACCAACATTATAATTACCCGATTTCGATCAGTGGTAGTTACATCAATTTCTCCTTCAACCATTTGAACCACAATTTTGTTTTCCCGCTTGCCAGACCAGAAACACAAGGAAATATTATGTTCACAATAGCACGTGATCTGGAAATTTTTACGAACCGATTCTTCGGTCTTTGTAACAAACACACGTGCTTTCTGCAGGACACTTCTGCATTTGTCGCACCTTTGTGGGCAATAACCAACGTACTTATCTATATCTTGATCGGTTACTGCTGGACTACATTCGATTTCTTTACTTTCACGTATCTAGTAACACAATAGTCAAAATTTTGTTCAATAAACCTTCGGATTGATAGGGATTCGTCGCTCGAAACGTCGAAGTTCTACTTGTATTTTTCACGTAGTTGCATCCGGCTATATCAATCCGAAACTTTCTTATTATTATTCTATGAATTAACCTTTCTCAAAAACTCCCCCTGTCTAGATACGTTTTAGCCTGATCGGTCCACAAATTGTGTCGCTGGTGTAGTTATGAAGGAGAACAAGTATAAAATTCACCAAAATAACGCGGTTGTGGCCGATTTGTAGTTACTTGAGACGAGTCATCTATCCGAGTATAAACACAAGACTAACCGAAAGGGACTTGAATCTGACGCGAATGATTACATATTTCGCTTTTTTGTCTTACCCATATTAATAGTCAATTAGTTTGGTAAGGAAACAATAAACGAATAATATAAAGCAGCTGCTCGCCAGCCATACTGAATAATATGCAAAAGTGAAGAACTGCTTTGAATGGTTTCGAAACTGTAATTCGCCAAAAATGGTTTGAATTTTTTCCCCATTTTTACATAACAAAGGTAAACCAGCTTAGCATAACCTGGCACTGTTAGGGGTAAAACTTGCGACAGCTGACATGAGGTCTTTCAGACGAGATCGCAGATTTAAAATCCCAACAAACGACGATTAAGAAGAGTGAAAAAGCAACAGCAGCATTTAGTATATTTCAAAAACCGACATTGACGGTCTTAAAACAATGATCAACCGACATTAAAAATTATAACCGACCGGAATAAAGGAATACCGAATGGTTTTCCGTGCAGGATTACGTGATCCATGCACGCGGGATGTTGCGAGACTTTCGGAAAGCGTAAAAATATTTTTACGCTTTCCGAGAGTCGAGCAACATCCCAAGTGCATGGATCATGCTATCCTGCACGGGAAAACCATTGGTAATTGTTTTATAAAATTACTACAGTGAAACGACGGTTAACTTGATTAAAATTACCGATTCTCACAACAATCGTGAATTAAATGTGATGTAAAGTCCGTAATGTAAACAAACGCTTTGTTTACATTTTGAACTCAGTGCTGCAGTTGTAAAATATGATTAGATATATATTATACTGAATTTTTAACACTCTTCTGGTTCGCTATGCTTGTAAATGAATGCAGACTAGAGATTCAATTCAAGAAAGTTCGGAAGGTGCGAAATATTAACAACATTCCAAAGGTTGCTCCCAACACCGCGGAAAAACGTCTGCGCATGCGTCAACCTTGCCTGTAATAGTATTGCGAACTTGATGCCAAAGCTGTTCCGAACGTTTCCGAAGGCTCAAAATGGCGGTAAAAAGGAGTGACTTCATTGTGCGTCTTTACAGCCAGATTTCAGGCGCAAAAATAAACATGTCATTCTAAAAACTAGAAATAAATACAGCCAGAAGGTCAAGAAATTGTATTGTACAAGAACATGAACTAAAGGTGATTGTTGACAAATTTATCGTCTGAAACATTATGTTTATCAACTAAGCAGTGACAATTTCCGAATTTTCGTTTGAGATACATTTCTTTAAAAAAAACTGTGTCGCCAAATATAAAAAATTTGCGTGTTCACAATAATTAA